TAGTATTCCATTGTGTGAACATACAGTTTTGCATTTCTGAACTCAGCTCCGTTTGCATTTCATCTCAGAAGTAGATTTGTTGACCACTCACTCCTTTCAACAGATTCCTTTGTTTTAAGCTCTCCCAGAAGTATCGAGAAGGTAAAGGCCAAGTTTGTCTTTATCTTCTGCAAGCTTAGCAAAGTTCTCGGTATTCCTCAGAGGGTCAGTAATGTTTATTGAGTGAATGAACAAATAAGGCTCATTAATTAAATGTCTACCCAAATGTAGAGTTACAAATTATGAAACTAAAACACAAGAAGCAATTACATCATGTAGCAGGGTAATCTGACCTAGTTTGGTAGAAACCTGAACAGACTAATATTTAATGAGTGGAAAATTCAAATTATCACAAGATCAGTTTCTCAAGAAGCAGACTTCGAGATTTGAGTGCTGGGATCTTAATCAGGGACACACTGAAGAGCACCCTCTGTGGAAAAGAAGGAAAGGAAGTAAGTTTGAGAAGAACTTGGGCTGGAATGCAGCCTCAACAAAGACTGTGGCAGACCCCACTGAAGATTTTAAGTTGTACTGGCCCTTTATATAGTCTACTGCCCTCATGTTAGCATTACATTCACTTTATTTGCATTATCTCAGCCTACAAGTGGCCCATATACCTTATTTACATTATTAGCAATCCCTTTCATGGGCCACAAATACCTCACACCTGGTCATCTTATAGGAATTAAAATGGTTGCAAAAGGCATATCAGATAATTCACTGCCCCGCGCTTCCTTCCTCCAAAAATCTCTGCCCTAGCTGGCCCCCTTTTTCTAAATGTCAGATCTATTCTGAGAGATTTTTTCTGTTGCTCTTTCTAGGCTCTATTTGTTTCCTGCAGGAAAAACTGTGAACATATAAATGGTCCATTATTTGTCCATTGCTTGTTTTGTCTGCTTCTTCTTCTAGTGGTTGCTGCTGTTCATTTTGTGGTAGTAGCACTCAAGAAAACAAAAGTGTGTTAGCTTCAGGGAAATCTGCTGTCAAGGACCTCTCCAGAGGTCTAAAGAGCAAGGATGTCAGTTTAAAGACTAAGGGCCACTTTAGCCAACCCTGGTATTTTCAATTGCTTCTGATGCATCTGAAAGTCAGACAATGAATAAGGATGACAGAAGGGGAATTGGTGCCTTTGAATTGTGGCCATGGCAAAGAATATTGGATACTCTGCCAAAAGAAATTTGTCTTGATGAAAGTGCAACCAGAGTGCTCCTTAGAGGCAAAGATGGTGAAACTCTCTCTCACTTACTTTGGGCCTATTCACAGGAGGAACCAATCTTTAGAGAAGACATCATGCTGGGAAAGGTGGAGGGTCAGGGAAAGTGAGGAAGACCACAAAAAGATGGATTGACACAGCCACTCGAGCATGATGGAGATAATGAACATGACACAGGATAGTGCAAGGTTCTGATCTGTTGTTCACAGGGTTGCTATGAGTCATAGTTGACTCAATGGCACCTAGCAACAACAACTGCTTCTACATCTGAGGCATCAATTAACATTGATTCTAGACACATATGGGTGTTAAGGACTTAACATGTGGTAAGTTTGAACTGAAATGTGCCACAAAGCAAAACACATCCTGGATTTCAAAGACTTAGCACTGTCAAAAGGATGTAAAATATCTCATTGATCCTTCTTGACTATTGATTGCATGTGGAATTAATATTTGTGATGTATCATGTTAAATAAAGTTATTATTAACAATTACAATTTCTAACTCTCTTAAATACAGTGACAAGGACATTTAAAATGATTAATGCAGCTCCTCAGATATTTCTGTTTGGGAGCGCTGGATTAGACTGTAAGCCAATTGCAGCAGGAACCATTTCTTACCTTGCTTGTCCACTCTTGTGTCCCTAGCATATAGTAGATGATCAGTTAGTATTTAGTGAGTCATTTTGTTTTTTAAGAACATCCCAGACGTAGACAGTCCTGGGACAGGCAGCTCTGTGTACATTGTCAACTTGAGGAGGGAACATTTGGGTTTTTCTCATCTCTACAGTTCAGAAAGACTTGAGACGTTTTCCCTCTTCTGCTCTGTGTCAACATCTGCCCCACAATCACCTACTACAAGCCAGAGGAGAACAGTAACTAAGGGGAGTAGAGTTGGGATGTGGGTAATTTTAAGAATGAGGAAGTTATGGAGAGGTGGAAAGTAATAGAAGAAAGAGTTGGGTGCTGATGGCGGGATGGGGGTGAGGGAGAGGTGGGGAGTTACAGAGGAGTGGGGGGGCAGAGGGATGAGGGTGACAATGAGGTCGGGTAATGGAAGGGTCACGTGGTGCAGGAGCAGGAGTGATGGAAGGTTGGCAGGTTTGAAGGAGCACAGGTGGTGAGGGGTGGAGAATGATGGAGAGGTGAAGAGTGGAGGGGTTGGGATATATGGAAAATAGTGTGGAAGTCAGGAGATGATGGAGGGGTGGGAGGATGGAGAAGTGAAAGATGAAGGGGCAGGGCATGATGGAGGGTGGTGGAGGATAGAGAGATGGAGGATGGAGGGTTGGAATGTAAGAGCAGGGAGTGATGGAGAGGTGAGGAGGTGATGGAGGAGTGAAGGGTGGAAGGAAACTATGAAGGAGTAGGGAGTGATGTGAGGTAGGGATGCTGGAGAGATGGGGCGATAGAGGAATGGAGGTGACAGAGGAGTAGGGAATGGTGGAGAGGTAGGGAGGTGGTGGAGGAGTAGGGGGTGATGGAGGGAGTGTGGAGAGATGGGGATGCTGGCTAGAGAAGAGCTGACTCAGAGGCTCTATCAGTCCTATAGATGCCTGGTCACAGTTACTTCACTTTCTCCCGCTTTTGTCCTAGCCAGGAAAGGCTCACCTCCACCTCTGAGATACACAGATGGGGTAACTGGGGCCATAAGGGGGCTTTCCTGGGAGCCCTTGTTAACTTGGTGATGCAGTGAAGCCTCAAACTTGATCTCCAAACTCATCATAGCTCTGACTACATCTTATATTGGATCTTTTATTCAAAGGAATCCAGGCAACTAGAATTCCCACAGCTGGCCTCGACCAAATACACACTCATGCTCACCTCCGCTTCCCTGGGGGCTCCTGTCTGCAGTCATGCCTGGTCCTAGAAAAAGTAGCTGAGCCTCAGAGAGGCCAAAGGGAATGAGAAGAGATGACTCAATAGGTGGGTGGGTGGGTGGGTGGATGGGGCATGGGTGAGGGGAGTGTGGATGAATAGGTGAATCTGGGGATGGGGGTGGGTGGGAAGATGGATGGAGCTGTGGAGGACTGGTTGACCAGTAGGATGGCTGCATGGGGGTGAGAGTGGACGCAACAGAAGACAGGAATTACCCACTTTGACCTTCTGAGAAACTATCATCTGAAGAGCAGAGGGCCCTTCAGCGATCATATTCCCGCCCCTCCGCCCCCACCATGGTTCTGCTGGAAACCCGAGGTCAGGGAAAGCGGGCGCCCTGGCCCGTGTCCCCGCCCCGAGGCGCCCCCGCCCCCGCCCGCGCCTGACAGTGCCAGGGGGTCGCCCCGCCCCCACCCGGAGGCGGCAGCCCCACGCGGCCCCAACAAGCTGCCGTTGTCCCGCGGGCCGTGGGTCCGGCACACTGGGGCTTTGTCCGGCCCCCGCCGCGACCCACGGCCCCCACATGACCCAGGGGGTAGGAGGAGCCTGCGGCGGTGGCGGCGGCGGCGGCTCCACCATTACTTTCCTCCCGGGCCCAGGGGCGGCGGTCGGCGTCGGCCAGGCAGGGCGGGCCGGGGCCTCGGGAGCTGGGCCCCCAGATCCTCCACGGGCAGCAGGCGCCGGGCCCGGGCCCTAAGGGCAGAAGTGAGCCGAACGCTCTCCAGGCGGCGAGCGGGGGCTGCGCCCGGACCCCCGCTCCGGGGATCATGGGGAATGGCATGACCAAGGTAGGGGCGGGGACCGGCAGCCCCCACCTGGCCTCCTCTCGGGTTCCCCTGCTCCCGCCTCTGAGCCTCTGTACCTGCTTAGATCTCTGTGTCTCTGCTGTCACCCTGCATCTGTGTTTGCCCTGTCCTGTCCCTGAGACTCTCTTGCGATGTCTTTGTGTCTGTCGCTGCCCGACTTGGTGTCTGTAACTGCCCCATGTCTTTATGTCTGACATTGCCCCTGTGTGTCTGTCCGTAAGTCTCTGTCTCCGTTGTTGTCGTTGTTGTCGGTTCCATTCTGGGAGCTCTCTCTGGGCTCTGAGCCACCATCCCCTGCAATTCCCTTCATCTGTCCCTCCCTTCCCAGCTCCCTTCACCTCAGCATTCCCAGCCACCTCCTTGGCAAATCCATCTTTCTCCTTACACCCCCCCACTCCCCCCCACACCCTCTCCCCCTCCTCTTTCATCTCACTCCCACCCAGGCCACCCTCCCCTGGTGCCCTCACTGTGGGTGACCTGCCCCACCTTGCCAGAGTCCCAGAGAGTGCTCCCAGAGGGCCCTGACCTGTTGAAAGGGAGGGACTTGCTTAGGATCTTGACATCCTTCATGGGACAGAGGAGCTGGAAAGAGGGAGCTGCCCTTGCCCTTGCTGACCTCTTGACTGTCTTTTCTGTAGGTACTTCCTGGACTCTACCTCGGAAACTTCATTGGTGAGCACTGTCCACTCTGCCTCAGGCCATCGTGCTTGGCCTGGTCCTGGCCTGTGTCCCACCATTTTGCCTCTGGCCCACAGCACATCAAACACGCTTAGGAATGAGGGGAGGCAGGGAAGTACTCCAGGCCCAGTGAGGGGGAACCTGGAGTCCTAGGATGTAGATGAGCAGAGGGCAGGTAAAGTCCCTTACAGCCCAGTCCCTTCCTTCAGCTGGTCACAGCACTCTGACCTCTGTATCTGGCTAATAAGGTCTGAACCGCTTCAGTGTGTAAACCCCCTGAGGGAAGGGGTCAAGAGGCTCACTATACAACCTGACTCCTGGTCAAACACTGTGCAGAGTAAGTGCCCCATAAATGTTTGCTGAATGAGCATGCAGACATATGAAGATGGAGGTGAAGTGATGCTATTTATTCTAATCATAAAAGATCTGCATACACAGAAAACTCAGCCCCTGGAGATGAACACTTGAGCATCAAGGGATACCCTGGCCCATTTTTCAAATATCCGTGTAATGTTGTTAAGAACTGCCCCAACCCCATGTGGTACAGAGTGGAACTGCTCCATAGGGTTGCAGAGGAGGCTCGGGTGCAAAGGTTCAGTGTTGGTTACTAACTAAAAGGCTGGCAGTTTGAACCTACCCAGCTGCTCTGCAGGAGAAAGGCTGGCGATCTGCTTTAAAGAGCAGACAATCAAGAAAGCCTTAGGGAATCGACTCAACAACATCCAAAATCTTTATAAAAATAGATCTCTAGGGCTGCATTCTGCACTGGGTGGCTTTGAACCATCATCAACCTTTCCATTAACATCTGATCATAATCCACTAAACTCCTCCCTTTGTGGATACAGATATCATAAACATACTTGCAAACTGTTTGCAGCCTGGGTTTCTCATTTAGTATGTGTTAGACATCCAAGCGCGTCAGTATATATAACCCTTTTCAGTGGTTTTCTGAAGTAAGACTATTGTATTTACTCAGTCTCCTTTTGATGGACATTTAGGTTGTCCTCTCTTTTTGAACAATCTCCTGTGTGTACTTTTGTGAGTTGTACTGAAGTATTAATATGTCTGTCCCTCACACACAGCTCTCGTGTGTGAGCAAACGCTTTGTAGCTGAGATTCCTGGATGTGGAATTGCTGGGTCAGAAAGGCATTTCAGAGAAGGGTGTTTTAGGTGGCAAGAGCGGCATGGGTAGGGCTACAACTAGGGGGTGCCCCAGATTCAAGGTGAAGCCGAGTGCAAATAGCAGAACCTGCTGTGATGGGACCAGGAGGTGGGGAAGGAAGAGTGGACCAAGGTGGAACAGGAGGGCAAGGAGGGAACGCACTGCCCAGCTGTCTTGGTCATCAGCTACCAATAAGTCCCACCTGCCAGATTGGTACCAGGTTCTTGTTTCTTTCAGATGCCAAAGACCCGGACCAGCTGGGCCGGAATAAGATCACACACATCATCTCCATCCACGAGTCACCCCAGCCTCTACTGAAGGTATTACTCATCTTCATCTCTGGGGTCCAGATAGGTGGGGGGAAGGCAGACCTCACAGCACCCATTTATCAAGCACCCACTGTGTGCCAGGCCCTGTGCTGGTTTCTTCACCCACCCTGATGCCTTTGGTTATCGCCATTCTGTATTACCTATTTGTCATCTGAGGCCCAGAGAGGTAAACTTGCCTAGAAAGGGAGCTCACCTAAACGAACACAACAGAAAGCTGAGAAGTTGGGAGGTGAGCATGCGGGCCATCTGGCCCAGTGGACTCACAGTGAACCACGTAAAGGTCCCCATGTGGGTCTCCCGGTCCTCACACGGGATGATCCTGAGCTGAGTGTTTTGCTGTATGACTCTTGGCTATGACTTCACCTTTCTGCGTTCCTGTCTCATGCAGCCCTGTCTGCCCCTGGGAGGCTGTTGTGAAGTTTCAGATGGTCTGCAGGGTGGTGAAGACGCTTTGTGACTGTAAAACATGGCTCACACCATAGGAGCTGGTCCAGGGAACAGGAGGTTGGCTGGGTGTTAGACCAGGAGAAGGAAAGAGTTCAGTCTAAACTATACCTGCCAGAGTCCGAGGGACCAAATTCATATCTTTCACGATTTTTTTAAAATTTTAGTCATGAAACCTCACCTCTGTGAGCCTCAGTTGCCTGATCTGTAAAGTGGGGATTTTTTAAAAAACAGTACTTAACCACACTGAGTTAATGAGAGTAATTGAAAATGAGAGCCACATAATACTGTTATTACATAGGGAGCTCTGATGGCCTAGTGGCAAGAAGCTCCACTGCAATCCCAAAGGCACGTGGTTCGAGGCCACCAGCTGTTCCACTAGAGAAAGCTGGGTAGTCTGCTTCCTTGTGATTAACTGCCTCTGAAAACCTGCCGGAGGGTCTCAGCTTTGGTTCGGTTCCAACTCTGCAGCACACAACAGCCACCACCACTCTGAGTAAATGAGAATAATTGAAAATTATAGCCACATAATGGTGCTGTTGTTGTTGTATACCATTGGAAGCAAGTTTTCAAAGGCAATCAATTGCACAGGAGGAGACTGCCCGTCTTTCTGCCTCAGAACAGCTAGATAGTCAATAAATTGCAGTTGATATAATAATAAGATTAAGACTATTTTTATCCCATTGATAAAGACCCTGCCTCGCAAACTGTTAAAGTCTGTGTTATTCCCTTTATCCACTGAAAGGAAAGAGTAGTAACCAGGAAAGGCTCCTGGAGTTCTGAGATTGAGAGGAGAGTATATCATACATTTGCTGTGTGACCTTGCGCTCCTGCCCCTCTCTGGGCCGGCCTCAGTTTCCCTGTGTGTCCTGTGAGGAGGTCAGGTTTGATAATCTCTAACCACAACCTCTAATAACTTATAAGCCTCATTTTAATCCAAAATCCAAGCCATTTTCAGGCCAGTAGAATCTGATTTAGCTTCAGAGGGCAGCCTTGTTAGGGACCATATAGGGGATAAAGTCACAGGATTGCATAAGGAAGGCTGTCAAGTCATGAATAGATTTACTAATAAAATGACTGCTTACAAAATGAGTCCCTGCTCCCAACAGGCCTCCTTCCCTCCCTCCTCCCCCATCCATCGGTGAATTTACCAGTCGGGACTGGAGAATGCCAGCCAAACCCAAGGCCAAATGCGTGGCAAAGAGAAACTGCAAACCTTGCAAAAGGTACAGGCTTGTGTGACCTTGAAGACAGTGGCTGCAAGCTCACACAAAGTCATTGACAAATGAGGACCTGGCCAGTGACAGACCAGGCACTTAAAGATGCATTTGATTCTAAACGATTACGATTAGGGGAAGTCCTTGGGAAAAAAATCAACAAGGTCCCTGGACATGTGAGCAGAAATGATCTTTATGATCTTGTCCGAAGGGTAAACATGAGGTGAAGAATGTCGCAGTAAGTTTGTTGGGGAAATTACCAACACTTAGCTCATCCTTTGATTATTCTAATAATCACTCTCTGATTTTTTAACCACAGTTCCAAAATCTTAGCTCATTGTTATATATTTTTTTCTCTTTTCAAGATTATCTGCTTTGCCCTATTTATGAAATTGGGATCTCCATCTAGACAGGACTCTAAGGAGCCCTTTCCCAGCTAATATTAGCTAAAGGGGTCTAGGGCTTTCTTATCAAGTCTTTAGGCCAAATCAATAAGATAGTTAAGACATGTAGTGTCTTAAAAAAAATAATATGTGGTGTCTGCTCAGAAGGTTGTGGAATCACAGATGAAATATCAGCCCTCTTTAGACAGAACAGGCAACAGGGACTCAGGGTGGGGATTGGCCTGGAGTCACAAGGAACTTGGACTGTTTAGGCCAAGGCAGAGAGAGAGAGGGGTGCAGTAAAGGAGCTCCCCAAACCTTGACTACTTGAGTATGTTTTCTGTTTGCAGGATATCACCTACCTTCGAATCCCAGTGGCTGACACCCCTGAGGTGCCCATGTAAGTTCCCCTACACAGCTAGTCAGTTGCCTTCTGTGGTTGGTGGGTGGGAGAATGGTGTGGCATACGGTGGTCTAAAGAAGACCAGAGAGAGGACTCAGGCCATCAGGCTCTTCTGGGGATCCAGCATGGGGGTCACTCAGACCGAAGTTTGACTCTGTTTCCACCTTACCCTTGTAATATTAAGCCCATAGCCTCAATCTCCCCAGCTATGATATGGAGAAAACATCTTGCCTCTTGAAAGCAGATGAACCACCAGATTTGAAAGTCAGCTCCAGACTGTCCTCACCTCAGTGCTAAGACTTCTGGGTCCTTGCCATTTCCTTGCTTTGTGACTTTAGACACATCCTTTCCCCTCTCTGAGCCTCTTCATCACTTCACAGAGGATTTCAATGAGAAGAGGATGTAGGTTGAGAATCTAGGACAGGGTAGGATTCTGTTAGTAGTATTAACAGCATCCTGTGCCTCCCAGCCTGGGGTGGGACCAGACACACGTCTCTCCCTTGGGATTCTTGCATCCTGTGACTGTCATTGTTCCCTGATGCTTTGATGGCAGATTCCAGAGGAGGGGGACTGTGTGTCTCCTCCCACCCATTCTTTGGAAAGGTCAAGATAAATCCTCTGTGGATATAGGATCCACCACACCCACTGGAGAGATGATTTCAGTTGTTCCTCCCTAGACAGGCAGGATTTGCCCCTACTGGTCTCTTATCAGTAATACCACCAGTGTTATCTGACACACATCTGTGCCTCGTAATATTTGAAAACAAAACAAATCCCATTTCCCTCAAGTCTGTTCTCACAGTGACCCCCAATCTTTATAGGAGGAAACTGCCCATCTTTCTCTCTCAGAGCATCTAGTGGATTTGAACTGCTCACCTTTGGATGAACAGCCTGATACATTACACATTAAGCCATCAGAGCTCCTTCAGACTAAAGTTGTGTGCCATTAAGTTGGAACTGACTCATAGCTAACCTTCCTGTGGGCTTTCAGAGGCAATTAATCATACAAAAGGAGAGGGCTCATCTTTCTCCCAAGGAGCAGCTAGTGGATCTGAACCATGTACTTTAGGTTGGTAGCCCTACTCCTTACCACTAAGCCACCAGAGCTCCCATCACTCTATAGTGCAGTCCCCTTATACTGACTGACTTGAGGAGCTCAGCACTCTTTGTCCTCTGTCATCCTATAAGTGAGGAGAGGAATAAAGCTTAGGGGTTCTGTTCTTCAATGCTCCTTATTCTCTTGTTTTCATCTTTAGCAAAAAGCACTTCAAAGAGTGTATCAACTTCATCCACTGTTGCCGCCTCAATGGGGGAAACTGCCTAGTGCACTGGTGAGTCAGGGTGACTGGGTGACTGGGGAGGACCGGAAGTAGCTGCCTGCCAACCTGAACACATTCATCCTACTTGGAGGGGACAACAGAAAAGACCTTTCCTGGGCTCTTGCTCTCCTGAAAGTCTGCCCTTAGCCTGGTAGAGGTCCACCAGGAGCTCAAATCAGGACTCTGCTCCTTACCAGGAGCAATGACTCCTGGCTATGACCAAGTAGCTCTTCCTCCCTGAAACTTAAGTTTCCTCAGCTGTAAAATGAGGGGGGGAAAGGCTGCACTCATGGGGCTGTTGTGAGGAATAGGTGGGGTCTTGCAGGTTCTCCTCCAGGCTTTGAGGCTACAGTGCAGGGCAGTGGGACGCCTCAGGCTGGTCCAGTTTGGGGGCATGGTCCAGTTTTGCAGGCATCTCCCGAAGCACCACCATTGTGACGGCCTATGTCATGACGGTCACCGGGCTAGGCTGGCGTGACGTGCTGGAAGCCATCAAAGCCAATCGGCCCATCGCCAATCCCAACCCAGGCTTCAAGCAGCAACTGGAGGAGTTTGGCTGGGGCAGTTCCCGGAAGGTAGGGGCAGAGGCGCAGCGCGGAGGCTGGAGTGGGGACTCTGGAGTGCAGACCCTACTTGAACTGAGCACCCGTTGGAGAGCACTGATCCTGTGCCTCTCAGCTGGCAGAAGATATTCCAGGAGTTGAAAACTCAGCCCCTAGGCGTATTTTGTTTGCACAGCCCAACATTTTTGGTTTTTCACAAATTCAAAATATGAATGCCTTTTAGGCAAGACTGTGGTCCGGACATTTGACCAGGTCTCAGCACTTCCCACTCCTGTCTGCACCCCAAGTATTTGACTCTTTTGAAGAAATTGATCTGTGTCCTACTCACCCATACCCTGAACCTAGCACAGGTCTTTGATGAAGTGAAAGCCATTCTTTCCTTATGTCCCCTGGGTAGGTGGCACCCAGAAATGTCAGGGACAGAGGTTTCCCCAGGAATACGGATGGGGCTGGGGAAGAGGAGGGAGGGAGACAGACAGGAGAGGCTGAGAGAGGGCCAGGCTCGGGCTGCTCAGCAGGTGGCAAACTGGTTCTAACTGGCTCTTTCAGAGGCTGGGGAGGAGCCAGCCCAAGAGGGCTGTTGGGGGCAGTGGATGAGAAAAGGGCAAGAAAAGGGGTCATCGCTATGGGAATGTAGCAAGTCTGGAAGATGGAGTCTCGGAGGGGTAGCGGGTCCTAAAAACCGGAATGGACTTCAAGGAGGGGAGGGGTACCAGACGCTCAGGAAGGGGAGGCGCTTATGGGGTGTGGGAAGCTGGGAGAAGGGCGGAGGCTGGAAGGAATCTTGACCCGGCTGCGGGGAGACAGTGGGCCCCACGATTTCGTTACCCCAGGGGGCGCAGGGATCCGGGTCACAGAGGGCACTTGGAACCCACGCCATCCCCTCCTCTCCAGCTTCGGCGGCAGCTGGAGGAGCGCTTCGGGAAGAGTCCTTTCCGGGACGAGGAGGAGATGCGC